CTTGCACTAGGCACTTAACTTTATACTATGACAGGTCCTAGCTTACAAGCTCCTTAAGGTCTTCCCAGTTTTTTTTTTGTTTTGTCTTGCTTTTAACATTTTTTTTCCTTAAGACAGGGTGTCACTCTGTCGCCCAGGCTAGAGTGCAGTGGCACAATCACAGCTCATTGCAGCCTCGACCTCCTGGCCTGAAGCCATCCTCTCCCCTCAGCCTCCTGAGTAGCTGGGACTACAGGTGTGTGCTACCACACCTAGCTAATTTTTTCTTTTTATTTTTTGGTAGAGACAGGGTCTCACTATGTTGCCCAGGCTGGTCTTGAACTCCTGGCCTCAAGCCATCCTCTGGGCCTGGGTCTCCAGAAGTGTGGGGATTTTCTGAGGAATAAATCAGTATTCTAATTCTGCACAGCCAACTCCATATTTTTAACATTTAAGGGTTCTACTCATGTACAGTAGAAACATACCCCCTGGTAGAAACATACCCCCCTTTTTAAGGCTAACACAAAGAAAATGGATCAATACTCACTGTATCAGTTTAATTTTCACAACTGTTATTTCAGTTAATGTAGATCTAACATTCCAATAATAACCAACTCTGAATCTGCACTACTCCCACTATCTTTAAGGTGTATCACAGAATTCTCAAACCCAAATTTATTTAAATACATTTTAATTCAGTATGCCCCTCATGCTTCACAGCATTTTCTGGGAAGATAAGTGAAGTGAGAAAAATTATGGCAATGACAGATTGTCACCAATTCAGAAGAATAATGAACAAGCATGATTGGCAGAAAGGCTGCAAGCTCTGAGTCAGAACGACTGAGGCTGGACACCCCCACCGGTTCACAGTGGTTAGTTAAGAGCACAGAGCACTTCTTAAACCCGACTACTGGAGTGCTCAATTCCCAGCTCCTTCAGTTACTCATAGCATGACCTTGAGCAAAGGATTTCACCTCTCTGTGCCTCACTTCTCCCAGTATTTAATAGAGATAATAATACTATCTACCTCGCAGGATTTTTAAGAAGACTAAACGAATAAAGTGCTTTAAAAAAGTGTTTGCTTTCTCAGGCAACTAACTTGACCTCGGCTTTCTCATCAGTTAAATGGGGTAATACCTTCTTCACAGGGTTATCTGAAAATTAAGCTGAGCTTGAAAGAAATCTATCTCAGTGCCCTGCAGAGCCACACAGGGCATCTGTTTTATGCCTAGTCCTGTACTATAAGCTTTACATAGGCTATCTCATTTAATTCTCAAAGCAGCTCCACAAAATAGGTAGTGTCTATTACCATTTTGTCCACTCCATATAAAACCAACATGACATACGAAAGTAAACTGCCTTAGATCATAAAGTGAGCAAATGGCTAAGCCTTAAGCCTTAAATATATGTTACAAATGCATTTAACTTGGGGTCTTCTATTGGTCTCTGGCTGAATAACCAGTTATAAAAGACATTTTTGCAGACAGTTCAGGCAGAGTGTTAAAGACATCAGGGAATTATTAATTTTGTAAAATGTGATAGTAGTATTGTGGTTTCACAGAACAGTATTTTTATTTCTTGAGAAGTAAGCTCAATTATTCAGGTACAAGAGTCCCAATGTCTGCAATGTCTTTGAAACGGTTCAGCAAAAATACTTATGCCTGTTTTATTAATGGGAAACCTTTCGACGTTAGGAAAAATATGACTGAAAGGGAAGCTGCAAATCCATTCCCAGCAAAGAGTGAGTTACAGAGAAGAGTTCATGAAAGGAACAAAAGAGAAAGCTGAATGGCAGCTCGATGTCTCCAGGGTTAGAGCTTGGTTCAGGAAGGTTTATCTTGTCTGCGAATTTCCAAGCCATTCATAGCCATGATCAAATGTTTTAATTTTTAAAAAACGTCCACTCCTATGCGCAGAGGACGACTTACAATAGTTTGCTGATGCTCTTTACTTCTTAAATTATATTTTTAAAAGTCTGTAGAATTGTAAATTTTAACATGCATTTTTGTGGGGGGGGGAGAATGAAAGACAGAATGGTCAATGTATTTTCTATATGCAAGATATCTTTTGGGACCATCGTCAACAAGAGCAAAGAGAGTTTCCTGAATTACCATATATTAGAATAACTTTAAATTGACATGGAAAACAACATTAGAAAACAAAACTGTTTTTAAATTAAGCACAGTTTTACCATTTGCAAGATTCTGATTTACTGCATTCTGATGCTAAATGAAACATATTATCTGGACCATTCAACAAAAGCTTTACTATATGTAGACTATCAAGTCTATTTTACCTAAAGTACAAATACATCTTCCCTAGGTCTCCAGTTTGATGCCACAGTTCTCTTAAGTAACAACCCCTGCCTGGTTCCAAAAGGTATCTGAGAGACCTCAAATATAAAATCATTACAAGAAAAAAATAGAACAAAATTCACCCAAAGTAGGAATCTAGCAAGAACCTAAGCAAATATGGCTACCTTAATCAAACAATAATTTTAGCTCTGGACTTAAAGACAGTGGCAGCAAACAACAACTGAACAACAAAAAAGCAATCACAGCAAGCTCTGTAATTCAGAGAGAGAAACCTTACTGCCACTAACACTTAAAAGGAATTTTTCAGATGCGTCATTACACAGGTACGTTGAACATAATAATAGACGGTAGCTACCATGGCAGTTTACAGCCCACGAAGTCGCTTTCTTCTCAGGCATGTAAAGTCTCGTGCCAAGGTCAGCACATTAAAAATAACCCCTATAAGCCCATTTCTTCAGTGGCTAAGATGCCAAGGCTTTCTCAGCCTCTAAGTGAAACTAGAACTCCTCAAATATCTATCCTCTCAACTGGACTTGTGACAGCAGTGGAGGCTGCGGCTTCATGCTGAACTTGCTCTGAGAGCCTAAATTGGAACTATTCTTTCCTCGCTGGTGATCCCACTCGAAATCCTTCTGCTTTGGATAGCAGATGGAGTAAGATGCAAGGGTGACAAGCTGCCACAAAAAGGGCCAAGTCAGGCCTGTATTCCCAAGGAGTGGAGCCAAGGTAGAGCAGTCAAACCTCTCCAAGAATCTGCAAGGCCAGAGCACAGCAACCAACCTCACTGCCACTGCTGCTACTCTGTGTACAGGTACAATCGAGGGCCCATAAAAATACTGATTTATTGGCTACGTTCAAAAGGCAGCAAGGCCCAGCAGCATAATCCTTCTCTGTATTTCAGCCCTAAAAGCGCAACTTTTTTTTCATTTTACCATTTTAAGATGCTATATACGAAGACAAAGCAAAACGTCTGAAATAGAAACACCAGCAGATGTGGTGGGACATCTGCGACAGGCACACCAGCAGGGATCCTCTCCTGTGACGGGTGTCTGGAAGATCAGGGGTTACTGCAGTCAAAGTTCCCTGGGGACTCACAGGAAGGAAATCGAAATTCCTTTTCCCAAACAGCAGCCCCATTCCCGCCCAGACTGGCAACAGCAGACGCCAAAGGATAAAGGGGGTATATTTAATAAAGTGAGTAGATTTCTTAGAGTAGAGCACAACACTGTCACCTGCTGCAAGAGACAAGCCTCCCTGTCGCCCAGCCCTGAGTCACTTCCCCTCCCAGCACTCTTGAGGCCCAATGCCTGCGGGGGGCAAAAGACCTGGGGCCTCTGGAGCACGCCTCCCGCAGCCCGCACCCCCCTGCTAAGACGCGCGCGGGGCCTCCCTCCAGGGCGCGTCCCCGCGGCTGCCAACCGGCTCTTTGAGCCCAAGCCCGCGCCGCCGCTACCTTGGCTAATGGCAGCACTGAATGAAAGGAACCGATGCAGACTCCGGATTTATGAATGTGCAGGGGAGGAGGGGAGGGATATCATGTGACAATAAAGGAGAGCGTCTTATTCACAAAAAAAAAAAAAAAAAAGTGGCTGGTGGCGGGCACAGCCACTGAGCAGCAGAGGCGGCCGCCGCGCGATGACCGCTCGGACCCCAGGCAGAAGACCTGAGGTGTCGGGCCCCGCGGCCCCGCCCCCGTCGCACCCGAGACAGAAAACGCCTCGGACCAGGGAGAGAAAATGCCAAACTGGACCCCTGGACCGCGAGGCAGGCGGCAGCTGCACCTCCGCCCCGGGCTGGCGACAGTCACGGGTCCCGCGCGGGGCTGCCCGGGATCCCTCCGGCGGAGCGCCCCAAGCATTGTTCCCCTCGGGCCTGCGGGCCGGGCACAAGCCCGTGCACGCGCACCCGCGAGGACACACACACACACTCGCCCCCAGAGCGCTGCCCCGCACGCTCCCGCCGCACTCGCCTAGGTCCGCCCCGAGCCGCCTGACCCCGCAGGACGCGTGTGCCGACCACAAGCGCGTGCACAGGCACTCACGCACCGCGGGGCCCCTCGGGCGGCTGCAGCACGCCGGCCCGCGCGGGGACCCTGGCGCACCAGACCCCAGCGCAGCCCGCGCCGGTCCTCCTCTCGCTCCGCCGTATTTTTTATGAATGAAAATGTGGTATGCAAATGAGAGCGATTCAAGAAAACGAAATGGCGGAGCCTAGGCCCCAGTGGGCTCAGGAGCGGACTGCGGGGCTCGCGGCGCGGCGGGAGTCACAAAGTCACTATGCAAAAACCCACCGGCCCCGGGAAGCCGGAGTGGGGGTGTCAGGTCTTCCGCTCCAGTCGCCGAGGATTTCGGGGGCGGGGGGGTGCTGTGAGTCCTCGGAGAGGGAGCAGGGACCGCCCGGAGGTCACCCGCACGCCCTTGGCCCCCGGAGCGGCCACCAGCCCGCCGACCCTAGGCGTGCGCCCGCCAGCCCGCAGCAGTTTTTGCCCCCTCCTCACTTCAACAAGCAGGGAAGCCTCGCGTCCCAACCCCGACAGGTCAGCGAGTCGCTGCACCCCACGCCAAGTTCACCCAATAAGCGTCCCCGCCCGCATCCTCAGCCCCGGCCCCCACGCTGCCCCCGCGGGGCACCCTCGTCCCACCCCGCGACCAAACTTACTCGTCCGGGTGTGTTTCTTCGGTCATTTTCTTGTTCACCTAGACGCCTGTCCCGCGGCGGGCAGCTTTGCTCCCTTCATCTTCCTGTCCGCTCGCCCCCCTTCTTCACATCTCCGGAGATCGCCTGATTTGGGGAGGGGGGGCGGCTAGAGATGGGGGCGCCGCAGCAGAAGGGGAAGCAGGGAGCGGGGTGAGGTTTGGGGGAAGGGGTGCAAAGGCAGGCTGCAAGGGGAGTGAACGCCGCAGCTCCGTGGGGAGAGGCGGGCGGAGGCTCCGGGGGCTCGGGAGCGGGCAAAGGGGGCGAGATTTGGGAAGGGGACGGCGGTGGGGGAGAGCAGGAGAAAAACAAGCGCGCCTTGGAGCGGCGGGGACTGCTGCGAGGAGGAGGAGAGCGCCGGCCGCGGGTGGGGGGACTCGGTCCGGGGTCGCCCCCGGGGGGCCGGGCCAATCACGGTTCCGGGGAGCGGTCGGCGGCCGGGGGAGGTGCGCCTGGGAGGCGGTGCAGGGCGCCCCGTCCGAGCCCCATCTCTCGACTCCACCGATTTACTCCATATTGGATTCTCACCGCCGCCAACAGGAGGAGGAAGTAGGGCGGAAGCGATGACGTCTTCCCAGCGGCCAGAGGTGGTGGAGTGCAAAAAGCTTCCTACTTGCGACCGAAAAAAACGGGAGAAAAAAAAAAAAAAACTTTGTCCCGCCTACTGAGCACGCCCGGCTTCCTCTCCCCCTCCCTCCTGGCTTCCACTCCCGGGGGAACCGCGGAGCCGAGTTGTTTGCTTGCGCCGCGACCGTCTGGCTCCGAATCCTCCTTGATAGGGCTCCGGGTTTTAGGAAGCCCGAGAGGAGAGAGGAGGCGGGAGCGGAGGACTCTTACACATCTGGCTCCCGTTTTTGCCCCCTCCCTCCTTCCAAACCCCAAGATTAAAAATCGGGGGGTTGGGCGGGGGCGGAGATGCGAAACTCAAGGGAGGGGAGGGAGTGAAACAGCTGAAGAGGTGCTCAGGCTCAGAGGAACAACTACCCCCACCGCAGGGTGGGAAGGTAGGGGCGGCGCAGGTGCCAGGGGCTGGCTTCTCCAACCCAACCCAACCAGAAAGGGGAGGGGGTTCGACTTTGCCAAGGTTCTGAAAGGCAGGGGCTTTTCCGTTTCACGTGAATCTTGTGATTTTTTTTTCCTTTTTTGTCTCAATAGAGGAACGGATTTTTGTTTTGTTTTCTTTGAGATGGAGTCTCGCTCTGTCCCCAGCCCAGGCTGGAGTGCAGTGGCGCGATCTAGGCTCACTGCAACCTCCATCTCCTGGGTTCAAGTGATTCTCCTGCCTCAGCCTCCCAAGTAGCTGCGACTGCAGGCGCGCGCCACCACGCCCAGCTAATTTTTGTATTTTTAGTAGAGACGAGGTTTTACCATGTTGGCCAGGATGGTCTCGACCTCTTGACCTCGTGATCCACCTGCCTCGGCCTCCCAAAGTGCTGGGATTACAGGCATGGGCCACCGCGCCGGGCCAAGGAACGGATGTTTTTAAGAATCATTACTCGTGCAAAGTCCAGCACAGCCCAGAAACGTTTGCATTTCCGTAGAAATTACGGAAATTCTCGCGTTAAGAGGCAGCCCCGGCCGGGCGCGGTGGCTGACGCCTGTAATCCCAGCACTTTGGGAGGCGGAGGCGGGCAGATCACCTGAGGTTGGGAGTTCGAGACCAGCCTGACCAACATGGTGAAACATCGTCTCTACTAAAAATACAAAATTAGCTGGGCGTGGTGGCGAGTGCCTGTAATCCTAGGTACTCCGGAGGCTGAGGCAGGAGAATCGCTTGAACCCGGGAGGTGAAGGTTGCGGGGAGCCAAGATTGCACCACTGCACCCCAGCCTGGGCAACAAGAGCAAAACTCCCTCTCAAAAAAAAAAAAAAAAAAGAAAGAAAGAAAGAAAAAGAAACAAGGGACATAGTCCCTATCCTTGCTGCTCTCCAAACATAGTAGACTATTCCATCCTCTTGAATGTCCACGGCACAATCCAGATATGATGTTAACTAAATAGCAACCACTGAACATCAGGTTAAGAGATTAAATATTTGCCTCAGGCTGGGCGCAGTGGTTTATGCCTGTAATCCCAGCACTTTAGGAGGCCGAAGTGGGCAGATCACCTGAGGTCAGGCATTTGAGACCAGCCTGGCCAACATGGCAAAAACCTGTCTCTACTAAAAATACAAAAATTAGTTGGGTGTGGTGGTGGGTGCCCATAATCCCAGCTACTCCGGAGGCTGAGGCAGGAGAATTGTTTGAACCCAGGAGTCAGAGGGTGCAGTGTGCCAAGATTGCACCATTGCACTCCAGCCTGGGCAACAAGAAGAAACTTTGTCTCTAAATAAATAAATAAATGCCTCACATTTAGTATTCCTGAAGTTTACATGCATCTAGGAGCCACAAATACTCCAAAAAGTTTCACCTTGAGTCAGGGAGAAACTGATGGTTTACTCCTGGCTTCGTGCTTATCACAGCCATGATCTCTGCGGACATGGAGTGGGGTTCACGCTGGTGATGTGTGATGGTGGGGAGGGCATGAACCAGAGGATGGAACAGCTTAGTTCTGGTTTTCTCCTAGCAGTCCTGAGACCCCAAGTGAGTTTCCTTATAAAACAGGAATAACAAGGCCAAGCTTGTCTTTATCAGTTTGTGAGGTCATTGAGAGTTGGTGAGAAAGTACTAACCAAAGCCAAGATCTCATTGTCCTTTAAATCCCCAGAAGGCTAAGGACTCACCTTTGGCCATGGTTGCTCTCACCCAGGTCTCACCTTTAGCCATGGTTGCTTTTCTCCCTGGGAGTGCTGAAAGAGATCCCACCCTGTTATTCCTGAACTTCCCAGAACACAAGCACTTACCCATGTCAAAATTATCCACCCTATGGGCATCTCTTGGGCTCCACCCTCCAGTTTCAAGGTACACAAATGGCGAGGTGGCAGGCGAGGTGATTATTAATTTCTGCAGGTAGGCCAGCTCTATGAGCAGGTTAAATTGGTGTCATCACCACTCATTCAGCCAGCTCTCAGCTAATATCTGTGAACGACTGGCCCAGCCTATGGACCAGGTTGCCAGGGGAACAATGGTAAATATTCTGAGGTGCAGAAGTCCCCAAGTCCCCACTGGGATCACCTGGTGCCATACTCCAGCTGCGCTATCTCAGGTAGGCCCTTAGATTCACTGAGCCTGGGTTCAGTGTCTGTTGTGTGGGAATAATACTCACAACATAGGGTTGCTGGGAATCTTAAATGTGCTATGCAGATTCCTGGTAGCTCTTTGCTCTCTCTGGCAAGTTGGTTTACCAAATAACCCCTCCACTCTGTCCTTCATGTTCCTTTAAATGAAGCCTGCCAGTTCTCTGCTGCCTTGTTCATCACCCAAAAGGGGCCTTTTGATGGAAACATTACTAGCAGGTCACCTCTTGGTCCTCCCCATCAATTACCGTGGTTGAGGTAAGTCTGACTCCTGCAGCTCCATAGAATAAATGAGGATATTGGGCGAATAACTCGGATACGCCTGTTGATCTGAACAACAGGGTGTTATCAAAGTCCATTGGATTGTTGCTGGAATAGGGGATATCACAGATTTAGGGCTTTAACTGAATGTCACTGCTGAAAAAGCTAAGGACCCACATCCCTGTCTCCCCAAAACCAGCAGAACAAGGGGGCGCAGGAAGCTCTGAACACAAATCAATAGTGTTCAGTCAGAGTAGGATGGTAAAGCTTCAAAAGTAATATCGATCTGTTCACAACTTCACGCAAACCCAGCGGGGCCCCCAGCAGGTCCCCCACCTACAAGCTTCTCAGTTCCGAGTCCTGGGCGAGGGAGCACCCACACCCGGGCCCTTCCCGCGGGCTGCCCGGAAAGCCCGGAGCGCGGAGCCGGAGCGACCCTTCGCGGCCGGGGACGGGCATGCTCAGTAGCCCCGCAGGTCCTGTTTCACTGGGAAGCCGGCCGCGGCCCCCACCCCTCCCGCCCGTCTCGGGCGCCAGGAGAAGCGGACATTTTAGCCTCCTCTGCAATCCGCTCTCGTTCGTGTCCTTCTCCCCCTCTCGTCCGGTAGGGCCGGGAGTGTAGATTTCCCCAGGGGCGGGGGTGGGATCTGAGTAATCACTCGCCCTCCCCCCTCCCAGGGGCGGGGAGGGGGTGATTTAGGGAGGACTCCACGGGGCCCAAAGGTTCGCGCCGCCCCGCCGCGGCCCTGCCCCCAGAAGCCCCCAGCTGCCGCGGCGCCCCCGCTCCCCGCCCCCCGCCCCGCGAGGCGCGCGGAGCTGCGCCCGGGCCTGTCCTCGCCTCACCCCCACTCTGCCCCTTCGGTATTTCTCAATGACCGGCGCTCCGAGGACACTTCCGACGCGGGAGGGAGGGGTTGTCATTAGCGCTCGGTTTATCAGTTCCTTCCGGTCTCCCCGAGCTCAGCCCTGAGCGCGGTGGGGCCGCGCCTCGGGCGATCTGATGCCTTTATTATGATGTTTAAGTAAGCAGTCGTGTGTGCCAAGTGAGTTTGTAGCCCAACTGTCTCCCCCAAGCCCCACTGGCAGGAATGGAAACCCAAGCTCTCGTAATGCAGGGGATGATGCAAACTTAGAAACTGACCCGGCGCCCGGGAATGAGGCCCCCCCCCCCCCCCCCCGCCCCGGGCGTGCGGCGGCCCAGTCGGGGCATGAATGGCTGGAGCCGGATTGCATAATCTGCGCGGTATAAATAGCCGGCGGGCGGGCCGCTGACGCTCTCGGTTGTGCCGTTATCGTGCAATGCTTCATCCCCGGTGCCATTCACTCCCAGGTCGTTTTCTCTTTCAGCTGCAATGCCAGAATTTTAAATAGAGATGAAAGGCCCCTGCCCCCGCCTCCCTCCTCCCCTGAGTTCATGTATTATGAATGAAACGCCAGCCTCGCTGCTTCCTGAGGTGCTCCACTTCAGGTAGGAGAGAGGCTCAATGTCAAGGCAGCTGGCTACCAAAAGTTGGGTGTGTGCGCGCGTTGGGGAGGGACGGAGAGCAGGAAATAATTGACAGGCTGGGAAACATTCTTTTCGAGAAAATGTAACCGCTCAGGGTTTGCCTCTGGAGTTTCAGTTTACAACTGTACAAACCTCGGTCAATTTAAGAATGGATTATGCAAAGGGGCTTTCGACTGCGGCTTGCTCGCCCTCACACCCTAGGCCGCTGTCTGTGGAAAGTGCTATTTCATTCAGAGGAGCTAGTTCCTGCCCTGCCAGGGAGACAGCACACATCCCCTCTCCGGTCTCATCCCCCACTTTAAGATGAGCCCTGAGAACCCTTGAGGGTCTATAAAAAAGCGAATGCTGGTCACTGTAGCCATTCTCTAGTTCCAGAACCTTGGAAGCCTCAGCGAGGTCCAAAGCTGAGTAGGTTTTAAAACGTATTTTTTTTCCAACTGTTTTTCAAAAATAGGTAGTCATTTTAAAAATTAAAGGATGCAGCAAGTTTTCATCTCATAAATACCAGATTTCAACTTAATTTTTTAACATAAAAATGGCCAGTTCTTCACAAATGAATTTCTGACATGTGAAGGGCAATGGTCAAAGTCATGATTTTTTTCATTGGCTACCAATTGCTCCAGTCTGCGTTGAAAGCACCAGGTCTCTATGAGGCAGTGGGGATACAGAAGTGAAGAAACCCAGACTCCTTCCCTCCAGGGATTCGGTCAGTTGGGGCAACAGGCATGTAAAAAACAGATGGGGCCACGAGGTAACAACTGTAAAAAATGGAGGAAGCAGAAGAGAAAACAGGGGTCAGGGAAAGGAGGAAAGGATCCTTCAAAGATGCTGGGAGTGCCCTTAGATAATTGGAAGGGAGGGATCTCCGGGATAAAGAGCTGGGTTACCACAAAGGCCTAGGTGTGAAATAACATTGGGGGTAGGGGGATGGAGGTGCGGGAAAGGGTGGAGAAGGGTAGAAGCCAGGTCAGGGAGGTCACACAGGCCTTGCTGAAGAAGGTTACCCTTTATTTTGAAATCATGGAAGCTTTTGTAGTCGATTCACAGCTGATCTTTGTCTAGTCCCAGATCGCTGCTGTGCCTCCCAAAGTTATGCAAATGTGGGGCAAGTAGGCAACCATTGTTATGGGATTGGGGCTGCAAACCAAATTCACAAACTGACAGCTCCTAGGCCAGATAAGGCCCCAGACAAGTTTTGTTTTGCCTGTTTTTTTTTGTTTGCTTGTTTTTGTTTTGTTGTTGTTATTTTTTAATCAAGCTAACAGCTTAAAACCAGAATATTTCACATAAAACTCAATATTTTTGGCTCCTCCTGAAAAAAATTAAAGACTTAGCAACTGTGAGTGCCAGATTTCTGTGGGGTAACAGTTGATGGTTGCTGAGTGGAGGCTGCCCTGTCTGTCAGGCTTCTGGTTCCTGGAGGCATTTGAGCTTTTGACCCCTGGCATAACAGGATGTTTTGTGACGGGGTGAAGGCCCCACTCTGAGACCCCAGGCAGGTAGAGCTTGTCCCTGGGTAAAGCAATTTGCATGAGGAACGCTGGGCCTCTTGAGAGGCCAGTCCCCAATCTCCTTACCAAAGACACTGTATTCTACCTAGGCAGGCCAGGCACACTGGATTAGAATGGGCCTACCCACAGCCCGCAGGCAGGGAGCAGTGAGGCTCCTAAAATAACAATGAACACTGATCCCAACTTGGGCTCTGTTTCTAGGGAACCCAACCTAAGAGAACTAGGCTCTCTTCCACCAGGGGAGCTGGAGGGGTTCAAGTGATCAACTGAGCAAATCACCAAATTTGTGGTTTTACAAGTTACATAACCAAATAGTTTAAGCAGGGAATGCTAGACTCAGGTTTTATACTTTAATAGGTTACTCTAGGTTTGAAGGATGGTTTGTTGGGAGCAGAGCAAAGACTGGTGTGGGAGAAATTTTCCTCTTCCGTGACAGAAATAACAGTGCATGATAAAGCACAGTGACAAGGGCCATGGAAAGAAGTAACCACTTCCAAAGACACAAATGGGGGAGAAATGACTTGGCTTTATGATCTGTTAGATGTGGGGGATCATGGAGAGGTCTAGAATAAATTCCAAGTGTCTTTCCCTTTTCCTTGGGAAATTGGGTGTTTTCTGGTCCCTTAACATGATTACGGTAATAAGTGGGGAGTAGGAAGAAGGCTGGGATCACTCAGGATGGAGAGACACAATGGGCAGTTGCTGCCACACAAGTCTGGGACTCACACAGTAGGTCAGGGACTGAGGGATATAGATAGGACAAGACCGAGTGCAGCAGATCCTGGAGGTGGAGATGGGGAGACAGTTCCCCGAATACATCATTTGAGCAACTGGATTTAATCTTGCCTGAAGCCTGAGGATGATCTGGACTTTCAAGATGTAAAAGCCAATATATTGTTTTTTGCTTGAGCTAGGTAGAGTTGGGCTTTTGTCAGTTGAAGCCCCCAACATTCTAACCAACAAAGTAGAAAACCATACTTTGGATAGTGAAAAAGATTGAGAGGAACTAAGGAATGGAACATAAGGGGAATTTTAGAATGTGTGTTTGCAATTTAACACAGGGACATCTGGGGTCTTTGCCAGGGAGTTTCATAGAGACTCTGATTTACTAGAACAAACTTCTCCCAGGAAGTTAGTCAACACTTTATGGGTTGCACTGTCCTCTCTTTTCAGTCTCAGCATCCTACCATCGCTACCTTAATTCACGTGTTCACCTCCCTTCTCACTCCTAAAAACATACCTCATTTTTACTACTTTTATTTCCCATCCCTTCTATAAAGACCAAAGCTGGGGAAAGAAGCTTAATAATATAAGAGAATCAGAGCTTTTAGAATAGGAAGAAAATGGGCCAGGTGCGGTGGCTCACGCCTGTAATCCCAGCACTTTGGAGGCCAAGGCGGGTGGATCACAAGGTCAGGAGATAGAGACCATCCTGGCAAACACAGTGAAACCCCATCTCTACTAAAAAATACAAAAAATTAGCCAGGTGTGGTGGCGGGCACCTGTAGTCACAGCTCCTTGGGAGGCTGAGACAGGAGAATGGTGTGAACCCAGGAGGTGGAGCTTGCAGTGAGCAGAGATCCCACCACTGTACTCCAGCCTGGGCGACAGAGCGAGACTCTGTCTAAAAAAAAAAAAAAATAGAAGAAAATGAAGGATCATATATTGTGGAAACTCTGACTTCAGTAAATCAAACATCTTACCCAAGCTTTTTGGAATGGAGAAATATTAAGGAAGAAAACAAAATACAATATGATATGGTCCCTGTATCTGTTAGCTTTTGGTGTATAACAAACCACCACAAAATCTAGTGGCTTAAAATGATGAACATTTTACTGTTTCTCATGAGTCTCTGGTCTGGGCTGGCTCAGCTAGGGCTGGATGGTCTAGGATGGCCTTGCTGATGTATGTTGTGATTGGCAAGCTGATTGCTCTAGTAGGGCCTGAGGTGGGCCAGCTCATCTCTGCTCCACATGATCTGTTATCCTCCAACAGGCCAGTCTGAACTGCATCACATGGTAGTGGTGGCAGGGTTCCCAGATCAGCAAGAGAGAACAAACCCCAATGTGCATGTACTTCTTAAGCCTCTGCTTGCATCACATTTGTTATTATCCCATTAGCTAAAGAAGTCACACAGTTGGCTGGGCACGGTGGCTCAGGCCTGTAATCCCAGCATTTTGGGAGGCCGAGACTTGTGGATCACATGAGGTCAGGAGTTCAAGACCAGCCTGGCCAACATGGTGAAACCCTGTCTCTACTAAAAATATAAAAAATTAGCTGGGCGTGGTGGCAGGCACCTGTAATCCCAGCTACTCGGGAGGCTGAGGCAGGAAAACCACTGGAACCTGGGAGGCAAAGGTTGCAGTGAGCTGAGATCATGCCATTGCACTCCAGCCTGGGTGACAAGAACGAAACTCCATCTCAAAAAAAAAAAAAAAAAAAAAGAAAAGAAAAAAAGAAGTCACACAGTCAACCCAGAGTCAAGGAGTAGTGAAATAGATTCTCCCTGTTGATGAGAAGAATAGCAAAGTCATATCACAAAGGATATGCATACAAGATGAGAGGAATTTGTAGTCATCTTAATAATCTACTTCAACCTCTAACCCAAATTTTACAACATAGAAAAGGATATTTGTTTTTTGTTTTTGTTTTTGGTGGTGTTTTTTTGTTTGTTTGTTTGTTTGTTTGAGATGGAATCTTGCTTTGTTATCTAGGCTGGATGGAGTGCAGTGGTGTGATCTCAGCTCACTGCAACCTCCACCTCCTGGGTTCACGCAATTCTCCTGCCTCAGCCTCCCGAGTAACTGGGATTACAGGCATGCACCACCATGCCCAGCTAATTTTATTTTTAGTAGAGATGAGGTTTCACTATGTTGGCCAGGCTGGTCTTGAACTCCTGATCTCAAGTGACCCACCTGCCTTGGCCTCCCAAAGTGCTGGAATTACAGGCATGAGCCACCATACCTGGCCTGTTGTGGCTTTTTTTTTTTTTTTTTTTTTTTTTGAGATAGGGTCTTGCTGTGTCACCCAGGCTAGAGTGTGGTGGTGCGATCTGGCTCACTGCAACCTCAACCCAGGCTCAAGTGATCTTCCCATCTCAGTATCCCTAGTGACTGGGACTACAGGGGGTCACCATCATGCCTAGTTAATTTTTTAAATTTTTAGTACAGACGAAGTCTTGCTATGTTGTCCAGGCTGGTCTTGAACTCCTGAGATCAAACAATACTCCTGCCTTGGTCTCCCAGTGTTGGGATACAGGTGTAAGCCAACTTGCCCAGCCAGGATATTTGTGATAATAATATACATTTATCTCACATATGATATATTGTATTCTTACATATACAAATATAAAATATAAACATGATACATATATAAGTACATGTATCATGTATTTACAATAAGTATATTTTTATATACACTATTTCTATATAGGAGTACTGTTGATGAAAT